TATGTTGGAAATGTGCATATTTTTCCAATTTACGTCTCACCTCCTGTATTATTCCATTTATTTTCCCATCTTTTGTGTTTTATTGATTTCGTTTCTTCTTTTTCTCTTTGCTCATTGTTTAATATTACTGATTGCTGCGACCACATGCAAAGCGGCGATCCATTAACGTCGCCGATGACGCGCCTTTTACCTCATATTTACCATATTTTCGTGTATATATGTGTGTGCGTTGTGCCCCCTTTCGTACAATTCTTATTTGACTTGGGCGAAAATATAGCGTAGAATCACTTTTAGACATATTTTCCTTTGTTATTATTGCTTCATAAAGGTTAAACGCATAGGTGACGGAAATAGGTGAAGCACGCTCTAGCTGACCGTTGGTCCAAGTGCCTGCCCGCGCTTGGCTGCCTGGCTGCCTGAGTAGCGTTAGTTGTTTGTCTTGCCATAAATATTTAAGTTGGCTGGCTTGCTCACGGTTTGTTAGCACAAAATATGGCTTCAGAAATTTCATATTGGAATTTTTGGCATCTCTGATGCGCGCTCGCCTGCTCTTCACATATTTACTCAGTAGCCGTAATTGGTTTATGGCGCATATTTGGCAGCAATTTTTATTAGAATTTTGATTTTTTCGACAAAATTGCAATTTTTACTGAAATACATATACACACATAATTCTTTTCTTCTTTAAATCAATTTGGTGTACTGATTGTTAAATTTCTCAGCTTTATTGCATACACGAGAGCTTTAGCGGCGTAGTTTTCCTACTCACAGCTGCTTGTGTGGGATTTCAAGATTTTTAACGGCACTTACATGTGTCCAACTGAAAATTTTCTTTCGAATTTAAATAAGAAGACAAAAATAATAACTAAACAAGTAAGGAAGGGCTAAGTTCGGATGTAACCGAACATTTTATACTCTCGCAAAGTCAAATAGTATACTCGTTTGAGATTTCTTTGTAGATTGACTGATATTTTCGGTAGAAGGTCAACTATAGGCACTGGGGTCCACATATTTAGTACTTAGGGGCTTAAACAGTTTTGGTTCGATTTAGACAATTTTTGGTCACAAGGTGGCATACTTTAAACGTATTATTCACGCAAAGTTTTACCCCGATATAATCATTGTTGATATGCATAGTGGAAAGTGAGAAGATCAGATGGAATTGGAAATGTGTTATATGGGAAGTAGGCGTGGTTGTAGTCCGATTTCGCCCATTTTCGCACTATGACATAGAAACATGAAAAGAACGTTATGCACCAAATTTGGTTGAAATCGGTTAAGCAGATCTCAAGATATGGGTTTTCACCTAAAAGTGGGCTGTGCCACGCCCACTGTCTAATTTTGAACGCGGTTCCTATAAAGTCATCTCATACCATCCCAGAGATAAAATTTAATGTCTCTGGCGTGTTTAGTGCTTGATTTATCGCGCTTTTAGTAGTTTTTAACAGTACCGTTATATGGGGAGTGGGCGGAGTTGCCACCCGATTTCAACTATTTTCAATACCGTCAATAGAAGTGCTAAAAACATTTGCTTCCAGTGAACTTTGCTATTATAGCATTAGCGGTTTAGGAGATATGCACATTAAACCTATTAGAGGCGGGACCACGCCCACGTAAAAAAAAAATTTAACTGCAGATGCCCCTCCCTAATGTGATCCTGTGTACCAAATAACAGTCTTGTATCTTATTGCGGAGCTTAGTTATGGCAATTTATTTGTTTTTGATTAATGGCGTTTTGTGGGCGTGGCAGTGGTCCGATTACGCCCATCTGCAATACCAACCGTCTCAAGGTACCAGAAAACATGTCTACCAAGTTTCATAAAGATATCTCAATTTTTACTCAAGTTAAAGCTTGCATGGACGGACGGACAGACAGTCACCCGGATTCAACTCGTCTCTTCATCCTGATCATTTATATATACATAACCCTATATCTTACTTGATTAGTTTTAGGTAATACAAACAACCGTTAGGTGAACAAAACTATTATACTCTGTAGCAACAGGTTGCGAGAGTATAAAAACTACAAAAAAAAAAAATTATAATAAATAATAAAAATGAAAGGGTTAAAACGAATTGCCACAAAAATTCACTTACTTAAAGCTTAACGAATTATTGCTCCTTTCAAGAAGCACTTCATTTTATTATAATTAAAATATTTGCCTTTTTCTCGCTACCTTCCGCTTGTACAACAAAACATATACATCTAACTACAAGTTTTTTGTATGTGTGTACGTTTGTGCTTACAATCGCAATTGCCTTCGCGTACTCTTGCCAATTTTGCCACTGTGCTGCAAGTAAACATATTTACTACTGTATGACTACCGTGCAGCCAAAAATGTGTATATGCAAGCAGCCAAGCATGGCAACGAAGAAAAGATAGTACAACAAAATTATAAAAAAAAGAGAAAATGTTAACCTTCGGCTGCATCGAAACTATGATACTTGAATAAGGGTATAAAAAAATATTCTTCTTGCTTTTGATCCCTCAGTTTTCATAGCAGCTATTTGCTATGGAGATATAATCTGAACAATTTCTACGAAAATAATCCAGTTCAAATTCCGTGAAAATAGTTTGTCAAATAAAAAAGTTTTCCAATACATATACTTGGGGAGTACGTGTATAAACAAACATATAGTACTACCAAACTTAATATACCGTGTTCAGGGTATAATGAATAAGGCCAAAACTATAAAAAAAAAAAATCTCAGACAACAAAAAAATTGCAAATATATAAAAAAGAATTTTTAAGCAATTACAAAAACAATATCCGTTCTTAAAGCATACGAAAGCAAAACAAAAGTAATAATTTCCAAAAACAATGAAAAAATTACAAAAAATAAAAAACAATTGCAGCATTTTTTTCCAAGCAATTACAACAACATCAGCCGTCCTTAAAGCATTCGAAAAACTTGTCTGTTGTGGTTATTGCTTTTTAATTGAAATATTTTCCTTTGCACGTCTTATGCAGCTACTTCCACAGATCAGACCGCTTCGCTACTCGCTAGCCGAAGTGCTCTTGACTCCACGCCGACTGACTGCACTGCAAACATACTTATTTAAGTACCCATAAAACCCTATTAGCTTGCATCCTTTACGCTTAAATACAATGGGCGAGCGGCCGCCGGCAGCAGAAGCAGCAGCAGCAGCAAAAATTTACAGTAGTTACATTGACTACAAGCGTTGACCCTTAAAAACTACACTTGGCACTGCACACTTAACATTTAATGCATAACTCATGTAGGTGTGTGTGTGTGCGTATGTGTGTATGTGTTTTTAATTTTCGCCTCCTTTGTGCAAACAACAAATACATAACAATGAGTTTGTGGAAAATAAAATTTACACTTATGCCTCAGCATGATTTATGGCTTGGTTGGGTTACCGTTGAAAAGAAATGAACCAAAAAATAACAACACACTTTTGAAACCTGCAAACAATTGGCAAACTTCTATGCGATCCTTGGCTGCTTGAATCCGGCTACTGCTGCCGCTTTTGTGCGATTTTGTATGTAAATTCATTAATTTCTTGTTCAACTATTCGTTTGGGTATTATTGGTTTTTCAAGCATTTTGATTGATTTTCGCTCAAGGTTAAGCAAAGTTGAGGTAATTGTCATGCTTTCATGAAAGGCAGTTACCGCCGGTGCTGTCAATAGCATGTCTGTATGTAGGCTGAGCGCTTCTTGCAAGTATTACTTGTTGGTACCAGCGCTTATGAGCTTATAATTGGTTTACAACAAAAACTATGGCCGGATCAATAAATCAAGAGTGAGAAAGCGAAAGGTTTCGGGCAAGTAGCAGTAAACTGTTGCCTGTTTTAAAGTATGAAATAATTTTTTTCCAAGTGTGTGCTTTCTTCAAGCTCACGCATAGGTCACATTTTTAATGTTGTCTTTAGAACTATAGTTAGACTATCAAAAATCGATTACTATGCATTTCGGAGGTGACTTTTTGTACTCGAACTTAATGCTCAGGCTCGGCGGCCGTTGAAAAATAAGATAAAAATTCACAATTAATACGCGAACTTCAAAATCTAATGAGCTTTGGCCATTATTAGTTAGTTCTTTTGGAAGTTTGAGCTTTTTTGAAGCTCACATATAGATCTCATTTGTAATGTTGTCCTAAGAACTATATTTCGAAAATCGATTATTATGTGTTTTTGAGATAACTTTTGGAACGCGCCCTAGAGCTTAAAGCTCAAGCTCGGAGGTAGTCGAAAAGTGGACAAAAGTTAACAATTAATGCGGGAACTTGAGAATCTATTAAGCTTTGGCTATTTTATATTTTTTTATGACTTTTGTAAAATATTGTAGAGCTTGAAGCTCAAGCTCGATGGTCGTTTTGAAAAAAAAGACACGAAAAATGAAGCTTTCGAACAAACTTATATCACTACTTTAGTGATTTAATTTAAGTGAGAAAGTTGTATGCCTTATATAATATATTATATATGTATGTGTAGTCCCATTAAGCAAGTCACCAATCTTATGATTTCACTTTCTCTAAATAAGTTTATGAGAGGAATATCAACGGGCTCTATTCCCGTTATAAAGTCTAGAAGTATTTAAAAAGTAATATGTCTTGCAATTGGTGCACTTATTCGAAGGCGTGACACCGCCCATTAAAATAAGTTTTATTTATTAAATACTATAAACTACTGTATTCACATCAAAATGTGTGACCTATTTTGAAGCTTCGTTATATTTCTCAAAATATTAAAAATGTAACTTAACTTCAGTGGCAATCACGTGCACACTATAGCTGTTTATACATATATGTATACTTAATTTTTTCTGTTCTTATGACGTTACAAACGGTATTATGTTTTGTGTGCCTTTTTTATACAAATTTATTACGAATTTTATATATTTCTATATTTATAGTGTTGCATAATTTTCAGAATTTATTCGAAAATTTTATTGCCTTATTTATGCATTTGAAATACCTAATAAATTAATTTCATAAACAAATTAATTTTTGATTATATTTTGTTGTTATTTTCAGGTAAGTTGAAACACTTGAATTTCAATGAAATCCTCGAATCTTCGACTGCGACTATTGCGTGTTTGAGTTAGATAAACCCACACGCACATACACAAGACGTAGCGAGCCATATTGAACGTAGAAAACCACTACTAAGGTATCTAGGTATGTCTGCCGTTGGAGGCTCACTAATTGGTAGCAGTGTACTTTTTTAATTAAGTTATACTGTTTTTTATCTACATGTATACATTTAATGTATATTTTTTTAAATATTTAAACAACAAATTTACTCACTCTTTTTTAATATTTTCAAAAAAAAATTTTTATTGTTCACATATATGTATGTATGTAGGTATTATTTCTATGCTTTAATGCCTGTAAGCACATACATACAAATGTTTATATGTATGTATACATAAGTATGTCTATTAAAGAATCAATACGTTTTTCTCTTCAACACTCTTAAAAATTCACGCATAATTTACATACGTTCAAGCGCTTGCAGGCGCAAACACCTATTTGCATTTTCCACTTAACAACAACAAAAAAGTCATGTAAAAAATATTTAATTATGCAAATCGTTGTGGCCGCGATGCATGCAAATAAAGCCACAAACTCGTGAATTACGTCGCTCTGGCATTCGATCAATGCGAGCAATAAAAAAATATTAAAAAACCAGAAAAAAAAGTATTAAAAAAATAATATTAAATATCAAATAAAATTTTAATTAAATATACGAAAGTAACAAGTCATCATCATCAAGATGAGATTTGCAAAAAAAAAAAAAAATTTGTTTTGAATTTATTTAAAATTTTTATGTGTGCAAAGACTAATTTATACACAAATATGGCTATTAAGACCACTTGACTAGCTTTTCGTTATGCAGTATGCTTAGCTATTGCATATCATGGATCTTAAAGTGAACTTAAATTTCTTCATTATTAAAGTTTGATAGTTTGCCTAAAAAATCTTCCCACAAGAGCAATTCAAAGCATTATTTAGGTGCCAAGTAATTATTTTCTTATACACATAGCTAATGGCGGTACGCACATCTTTAGTTGGATCAAAGTAATTGCAATATGCAAATTGAGTGCCTTGTTTTACATCCTAGCGTTGCTTTGCGTACTAGTTGGTTACTAATTATTTTTAACTAGCTCATTTGTAACTGCTTTCAGACTAGTTACTTGTAATATAGTTGCAAACTAGTATTTTGCTTAATCTAACAATTTCCAATTTTCAGAAAAGTAAGCAATATTTAATTTTTTTCAGATCTATAGATAATTTTATAAGAAAGTTCTACAAATGTAAAATATAATTAAAAATATCAAGATTAAATTTTGTAATCGCATATGTTTATAAAGCAAAATGTTAGAAACAATTGACAAATGTGGTTTAATACATTATACATACATATATCAATAACTAATCGAGAGAGCTTTTTAGCTCGATTACCTGATGCTGCGATAGTTATGGGCACATATATAAAGCCTTTATGCATATATACACCACATTTTCATATTATTCTCATGAGACACAGTATTAGAAAATATCATATTTCCACAGTCAATATAGTATATTACATACATATGTAGGTATCTATATTTATCTATATACATTATATATATTTCCAATTAATCTGTCTCTTCACATTTGCGTCCAACTCGCACACGTCTAATTGTTAATAATTCACTGAGAATTGGTTGAAACCACGTGTTTTGTGACTCTTATACTCTCTCTCACCGCCCGCTACCACCTAACTGATTACTTTTATTATTTACATTTAACACTTGTTCCGCTCACACCGCACACGACACAGCTCACACGTCACACTTGCGTGTTCGAATGCATTTTTTTTATTTGATCCCATATGAGTTGTTACAAATAAGTGAAGTTAATAATGAAATAAGTAATGAAATGTGTTACAAGTTAATATTATTTATTATATATATTATTATTTGCTGGGGTTTCGAAGGAGTTGTGCTAAGCGATGGAAATTATCATTTCATACTTTCGCGTGTGGCGACAAAGTAATCGAGAATGGGAATATGTAAATACGTTTATGTACATAGTACAGCTAGAAAAATAGAGGCGAACATGATTTTGTGATTTTAAAATAAGCAATAATTAGCAAATGTGAGCTAACACATGCTTCGAGTGTTGTTGTTGTTTGAGCCGTTTCCACGACAGTCGGCTCTGCTTAAGCGGAACAAACGCAGATTTTTAACCGGCCAAGAACTGTGAGAACTTGTCATCATTCCTCCAAATTACTTCAAGAATGTTTTCTGTCATTACAGCAATAAGCGTAGTTTGTTAAGGTAATAGTGCTATCTTAAAGAGCATATATTGCCGACTTTGCGCGAGGTAGATTGGGGACCGTTGCGATTACGTACAGCCAACTGATGATGGATTTAAAATTTCTTATCATTGCTTCAAATTGTTTGTGCAACTGGTCCAAATTTAATTTCAAAACTGGTTTTAAATAAACTAGTTTAAATTTAACTACATCAGAACCAGTCTCGAATTACCTAGTTTGTACAATACAGTTTACACACAAATTAAACAATTGAATTTCATCAGATAATCTGCTACTTTAGTCAATATTTTTGTAGTTATTGGAAATTTTTAATTAACTTTTAGCTTAATGCTTTAATAATAGCGCTAGAAGGGCTACTTAGAGTCCAAGTGTTAAAGTCACGATCAAATATTGCCCTCTCAGACCGTGTCTACAACAAAGCGGTGCATTTTTCGATTTCATTTCACATAATGCTTTCATAATTATGCTTGTAGATCGGTTTAATAGTTTATGTCTGTAAGCAAACCGTAATTGTTTGTTTGTATATGTGTTCCGCTGAACCAAAAGGGCGCGCTCATGTCCCAATCAAACTAAATTTGTAGCTTATCTCGCCTTAAACGAGTTTACATGCCAATGGGTCCAAGTAGTGATAAATGTATGTATATGCATACATACAAATATATTATATACTAAGGTATATATGTATATATGTATGCATATTGTTCAGACATTCCCACATTGTACATATTGTACTTACTCGTACAATATTTTCATTCAACCTTTCAATGGAAAAATGTTGATTCGGCTTGTCTGTAAATGCGAACACACATATGTATATATAAATATCTATGTATACGAGTATATAACTATTATATATACATACATATTTATGTATATCATCATTTGATTCCGTTTTTTCCTACACGTGTTGACAATCGTATGTGACGGCCGAGAAGTGAACAGAGAAGCATCGGCGTATTAAATTATTAAGTGAAACTTGATTAAGTTTGAGTGGCGTTTGGGAAATCACAAAAAATGTAGTAAATAAATAAACATAATTTAGTACTGCATAATTTCACGTTCACAATATTGACTTACTCACTTACGAAATTTGTGTGTAATGAGATAAGCGGAAATCAAAATGTATGTGTGCATGTATGTGTGTATGCGCAGTGGAATGAAATGAAATCGTGTGAACTTTTGGCGGTTCGGGAGGCGGTGCTGCTCCTTCTTTTTAATGTGTATGTTTGCGTGTTTGTGTTTGAAATTGAATTGAAATGCGTTGATAAAAATATTTTTTTGTTATCTGTGTAAGCATTTTGTTTTAGTAAATTGAATTTAAAGAGTAAAGAAAATTGCGTTCTTTATGAATATGAGCTTTTTAAGTAGAAGTTTATTTTAAAGATAATGCAAGAAAAATATTTGTAGAAATGTATTATGTGTATGATAAATTAAATTGATGAAAAATTAGTAAATATTAGGCATTTGCATGACCATCCATGCTATTGTGATGCAATATTAAATAAAATAATTTTTCCTTTCTACCGTTAAAAGTTCATTTAAAAAATATTAAATGCAATGTTTTTTGTAATGATCGAAATTAAATTTTTTATTTTTTTTTATTATTCATTTTAATTTATTGTATTATATTTAATATTAAAGTTAATTTTTGTTTTTATAATTTTTATTTTGTTTTTTGGTTTTATATTTTAAAATTTGTTGTTTTTTTGCAATTTTTTCTTTAATATTTTAAAATGTTTATTTTTAATTTTTTGATATTTTTAAATTTTAATTTATATTTTTTAATATTTTTAAATTTTAATTTTTTTTTAAATATTTTTTATATGTATATATATATATATACACTGGTGGTAATAATAGGGACAAACCCATTGACTTTTTTCTAAGCGCAAAATAAATTTTTTACCAATATATGTACATATGCATGTTGTACGTAGGTTTAAATCACTTGTCACTATGCAACGATGCTTGATAACAGTACTTTCTGCTTATTTCGTTTTCGACGTTTTATTTTTAGATTGTCGGCGTAATTGCTATTTTGTTTAAATTGACAGCGTTTTGAGCTGGCAGAAATAATAGACACACTCACCGTAAATTTGTTTAAAAAGTAGCATTATCTCAAAAACTAAGGCACTAGTTCGCGTATATACAAATGGACGCAGAAACATAGCTAACTAGACTCAGCTCACAATGCTGATCATTTTTATATGTACATATATATTTAATAGGGGATACGACGTTTCCTTCTTAGTTTTAAGTTTAACAAACTTTATGGCTTAACTTAATATACCATATTTTATTTAGCATTACTAATACGTATATCTTTCATAGACCAGTCCATTTTAGCGTAGTTCAACTGTACCAAAATATGTAAATTATTTTATTTATAACAATAAACATCTATGTAGACGAACAATTAATGTTAATATACACAAGCAAAGAAAGCAATATGAAAATAAATAAATGCCGTTATTCAGAATTAAATATATTTAATTTTAGTAACAATAAAATTTGCCGCAAGGCGTTGACAATTGTGCGCAAACAAGCAGAAAAATATAACAACAATATAAAGCGTGAATAAAAACGATGACAATTCCAAGGGCAATGAAAGAAATTTTTTAAATAAAATTTGAAATTGCCACAAAGCAAAGTGCCTCAGCAGGTTATTTAAAAACAGCACTTATACACAAACACACACATACATACACACATAAACGCACGCAAAGCGGACGACTAAAAAATAATAATGCGGCGAAAAAAGTACATATCTCAAGTTATAAACTAAACAACAACAAAAATATATATTTCTTTAATTAGATTTTTTTTGTACATTTTAAAATCTTTTTCTTTTGGTCGCACATAATGCGTGCATAATTTAGCTATTTTTCTAAGCGCTTCAAAAACAAAACTACAATTAAACAAAAACAACAAACACAAACAAATAACGAAAATATGTATGTGGGTTGCTTTTTCATTAAATTCAATAACTATAAAGACGCACACACACATACAGATATATATATATATATTTTATTTGTTGTATGAATTAGCGCTGGGCTCTTGGATGACCTCATTAACATAAATAAGAAGAAATAATATAATTAACATATCTAAATACCTGTGCCTGCGTGTGTGATTGTATGTGCGTATTAAAAATAGTGTATTACTAATATATTAAAAATAAACAAAAACAAAAACAAAAAAGAAATCACATAAAACCACAAGCGCAAGTATCGAATGTACTAAAACGGAGAGTAGCTTAAATTAAGCAGCAACTCACACACATACACCTGTCTTGAATTGTTTTCTGTGCTTTGTATGCGTCTGTGTATGTGTGTAATTAAAACGCTTAAATTATTCCGTGTCTTTTAAAACACTACAATAGTGGTCAGTACTAAGCCATAATATTGAACAGCGACTAGTTGCCGCATAAATGCGGTAATAAACATATATACATAGATAGACATA